AGCATCCAACACGTCGACTACGAGAACCGACTAGTGGGGCTGCAACCAATCTGTCCGTTCTATATATCCATTCAATTCTATCTGTTCGTTCTATCCATCCATTCAATTCTATCAATTCCCTACCCAGGTAGGCACACAATGCTATACCAATAAGACACCCAGGACAAGACTCTAAACATCTGCCTACCTCAGTAACATGACTAAGTCATTCTAGATAGGAGCGTCTGCCAAATGCATACATGTAAATGTCTGGGGTTAAGACTACATGCAAGTTAACACTCTTGTGCCCTTAACTGACAATATAAAACCACTTTACCAAAACAGCTTACTATGTATGTAGCAATATTCCTATTTCAACAACTTAATGGCCTCATAATTTAGAGTACCCAATGGCATTTGTGGGAAAGGGGTATGTGTGTCTACACATATCTATTTTGCAACACTGACGTTTGCCAGAGTTTGATACAGGTGATTTCTGTGAACAATATTCATTTCTCCCACAAAACAAAACAGCTCAGTCTGGATATATCACCATCTACAAAATGACAAAAAATAAAACATGGAATACAAAATGCAATACAGAACTTTAGAATAAGCAAAGAGGACAGAGCCGTGTTCTAATTAAGTCCTGATATGCATGACCTTCTGGGAGTGCATTTCCAGCTGGGCTCACAATTCCACTGTGTTCAGGGAAATGTTCTTTAAAGGGGGCAGCCAGACTGGAGAGGCTGAGCATCCCCCAGGCCCAAACTGATAAATACCTCTACTGGCGACAGTAAAACCTCTAAATTCCACTGCCCGAAAACACTTGCTTCTATGTCAGAAACCAGTAAGCATCAAATAAGAAGAAAACATGTATGTGGGCATGGAGAATCAAAAAAAATCACGCTGAAGAGGAAACTTTCTTCAAAATAATGTCGGATGATACATTTTTAAAGAGAAATTGTGTGGAGGATCTTGAAGCATTTGTTTGAGCTTCAAAACAGAACGCCGTGGACAAGCTCTGAAACTGAAAAAGGCTGCTAAGGAAATAACATCAAACTAAAGCCCTAACATAACTTTGCAACACAATGTACACGCCACACGGCTTGATGGCACATTATGCGGAAGGTATTTCTTTTATCTGGCTTTTAGATTCAAAAGACCGTATTTGTGGAGAATACTAAGCTAGTGAAGTCACACTCATTTCCATTTTGATTAGGTGCGTATTATTGTGCTGTCAGGCACAATGCATTTCTTTATCTCTGTCTAGAGCTTTGTTTAAATATGAAAACTGCACTTTCTCTAATTAAATTATCCTCAATCACAACAGGTAGATCTGTAGGGAATTTCAGACTAGGGAACTGCTGCACAGTGTTTACTCTGCCAATAGAAAAATGAGGGTGAACTTTCGCAATAGGAAAATGAGGGCTGAACCCTCATCAGAATTCTTATATCGCTAATCCTCCCTGTTTCCAGCAGAGAGCTGACCCTAATGATGTTTATTCCGTGATAAATCGTATTTATGATCCTCTACTGTCAACATCCAAGAAAACAACACACAAGAGACCAGCAGTTCAAGCAGTGAGGATACAAGTAATAACTAGTGTCTCCAGATAAGGATCAGTAAACCCGTCGTAAACAAACGTCTTACGGAAAAAAAATGGAAATGGAAAGCCTGTATTCTTTATTGACAACAGTATCATGAATCACTCATACATTCAAACTATCACGGTGGTCATAAAGTTGTACATGACTGAATGTCTGAAAACACAACACCCAGAGATTTAAGATACACAAGATTCAATGTCTCATTATTTGCCTTTTCTTTTAATATGTAGTACATATCCTATCAGCCTACGTTGCCTTCGGAACAGATCAGAAAAAATCTACAGACGTTTCTGTCTGTCCTACTGCGAGAAGACAACGCAATTCTGAAAGGATGTGTAGCTGTCGAGAAGCTGTTACTGAGAAAAGGAAATAGACAAAACGAAGTAAATTTGCGCTAGAAAAACCTGGACATCTGACATCTAAGATTTTAAGTGCTGAAAAATCAAAAATTTGTATTTTGTATTATTTGGATCACTAGAAGCAGAAAATGCAACCAGCTTCTAAGACTGAAATTTCGAGGTGTGGAAAAATATCCCTCCCGACAAGAATAACAGCTGTAATAAAGACAAAGATGGACACACTTCTGAAAAATCTGATGTTTTATGTAGCTGCTGAGGCCTGTGTGCAATTTTACATACAAGCTTTCTTCCTTTTTTCCTAACTCTGAAAAATTTCAGACTTAATAGCTGTTTTCACTGAAAATAAATAGATAAAGGGTGATCTCTGACTTCTAGACAGTACTATATAATGCCTAGTTACAGCCATCCATGCATGAAACGTTCTCCCTTGTCAAACATGAACCAGGCTTAAATGATTGAATGGCACTGTGATTACAAAGCTGTTAAAAACAATAAAAGTACTATAGCCAGTTGGACACCGTAAGCTTTATCCATTTTAATATGTTATCAAGAAGCTATTCATAGAGAGTAAATGCACAGATTACCACAGTATGAACTACCAAACTATTACATCAAGCACAAAGTTATTCATGTTCCTAATCAGACACACAAGCATGTTCATTCTGTTTAGTTTTTTTTGGTTTAAGCAGGCATTTTTTGTGGCACTACCACATTACCTAAATCAGCTTTCTGAAGAAAGGAAGTGGATATTGACTAACTTTTGAAGATTTAGAACAGACTCTCAGTCATTATTCCCGTAATTTTTCACCTGCACACACTGAAAACATGCTGCGGCCAATCACTCGTAGTGCAAATACACAGAAATTTTCTGGAAAGCCTCTCCCCATGATGCCATAATCAATCAAGGGCACAGTTAGACAATGGTATAGCGCGCATGATTCATTATATTCATTCATTCAGCCATTTTGATAAAAATATGTACTGATTATTTGATTATTAAATTATTACATTTGATTAATTGATTAAACTGATTAAAATTAAAATGTATCTTCTTGATAAATATGCAGTGATTAGTTTGCAGCAAAATCTTAATGCACAATTTAAATTCTTCTTCTAGTCTCTCTTCAAGTACAAAACAGCTTGACAGACACAAGTTTATACGCACTTTTTGACGCATTTTTTTGTTTTTATACTTTAAAGGCTTCCTAGTTTCTAGTTCATCTTCCTTTCTTCCTTTAGTCCATTTTCTTAAAGCTCTAATTACTTACTTAATTATTAAAACAATCAGTGCATTACTCAATTACTAATATAATCGATTGTGACAGCCCTAGAGAGAACCTCACTAGCTTCTGAAGACTACTTACAAGAACTAAAGGTCCATTTTCAGTTCACAAATTTCCTTAATATGATGTACACTACTTTGAAGCAAAGATCTATACATGCTGGTAGTGCAGTACAGGAGCTGAGTCTGATAGGGAGTGAGGATAATCTAAGATCAGAGCAGAATCTCTCTCCGGAACGTGTCCTCATGCACGGAGTCGGACAGACGTCGATACTTGATGGATTTTCGAGCGGTGGAGTTTATAGTGAGCGCGTCTGAGCGGCAGGCTGGAAATTTACAGTGTCTGCTCTAACAGAACTCAATCTTCCTCAGGCCTTAATAACAACAGATGGGAGGAGTACAGAAGGAGAATGATAGGATGGACAGAGTGAAAGAGAAAGAAACAGATGAAGTGTGTGTGTGTGCGTACGAATATACATATAAATACAGATAAACTGACAGCATTGTCAGACCCAAATCTGGACTGTCAGTTTGTGGGTGTAGGTGATCTGGCAAAAAACATAATATCACAATATTTCAAGACATTTTCAAGACACGCAATATGTATCACAATATTGCACAAATAAGCTATTTAAGGAGCAGAAGAAAAATCAAATCATTCGTGAAAAAATAAAAGAAGACAATGGCATATTGAGCTGGCATCCAATCAGCTACTATGTGGTTTATGCAGTTACTATACACTGGTTGTTGTTGTTGTTTACAGGCCCTCTATGATCGCTCATCTTTTTATTCTACATGCAGTTATTCAGTGTTCTAGTACTGATGATCCTCATGATATATAAAAAGTTTTTTATCATCAAACTGTCCTCAATTAATGCCCAGCTCTTCACTACCATTCCAGTCTAAGTCATCCTTTGTCAGTGAAAACGTGGTAAAATCGTGGGTATTAATGTTACCCAAAACAAGTGGAAGGTTAAAGTCGCTCTGGCCCTGGAGCTAGTAATGACCGATCAGACCACAGTCCGAAATCAGGAAAGATTACAACTTTTTGCTGTTTGATACAAAAGGAGAACTAGCACGAGTCTTATTTTCTATGACTAGTCTACAAAAGAAGTCCATCTGATATAGTTTACTCCGATATAAGGGTTTTTGGATGCACTGGGTTTGTTGTTGGTGAGTGACGTGCAGCCTCAGTATGCACAGCGAACCACCAATCACAATCATTCTTGACCCTGAATCCTTTTCAAGACCTTTCTTCAAGTTCAAGAAAGTATGATGGTGTGAAAAGTCATTTTTCAGCTTTTTTTATTATTATTTTTATTTTCTAAGCAGATTCACTCCTCTACAAATTCACCCCAATGATTTTAGAATGATTAACTGTTTAGAAATAGAGGTATTTATGTGATCTGGTGAAAATGTCTGTATTTTTTTACAACATATATTGCAGAAAAAAAATATTGCAATGTCACTTTTTTTCCCAATATCGTGCAGCCTTATGCCAAACTATTGTTTTTAGAATATTCTATGCCAAAAATGACCTTTTTTAATAAATTATTTATCCTGCATGGATGGACTGTCGCGCCACCTGACATATTTAAACTTTGGGAGACTTAAATGTCTAAAATATATTTTTTGTTGATGCTCTGAAGATGTACTCACATAAAGGAGGTATTGTAGAAGAATGTGAAGAATGTGATACAGGAAACATATTTATTAAATTATTTAATAGAAAACTATTTCCTTTTCTTATTATTTAATAGAAAACTCACATCTGCAGTCTCCAGTCTGCCACTCCAAACACTGTCCATATGGGAAAGAGACGACGTAGGCGTTAGAATCCACACAGCGTTTAGTGTTGCTGCACCACACACACCCCATGGCCTGGCCGGTGCAGTTATCGCAGGTGCTGCGCAGTGAGCAGGGCGTCTTACATGGGAGCACCCTCGGGCTCGGACTCGCTGTTGGAAACACATTCATACTTCAATGACATTTTCTATATATTGCACAGTTTACTGTACTTTATCCACTGAGACAGAATGGCATGGGTAGGTGTACACAGGTTCTGCACTGAATCAAATTTACACAATTTTCCCCTTTTCACAAATGTAGTTGATGAACTAAGATATATTTGGTGACCAAAGTTTTCTTCTTTAGTTGTAGGTATGACATTGTGACACACTGTTATCTATACAAATGAATAACTCTATACTGAATAGCTACAACAGAAGTAGCCGTCATGAAGCCTGAACTTTGTCCAAACTTTTGTCAGTTTTTATGGACAGCAGGTATGTCAAAGGTAAAGGTACTCCTTTAAACCTCTACCAGAGAGAATGATATTAGTAATACAAGCACAATACATCACATTTATGCTTTACCACCTCCCTTCCATTATTTTCATTTTTTGCAAACCTAGGCATCCTTTCCAGTGTTTTGTAATACACCTTCAAGAGTTACTCAACCATCAGCTCCACTATTCTGCTCTGGCCAGCAGAGCAGGCTGCCCAACACTGTCCTACAAAACTTCAAAGTAGTATTGTGTTGAATAACTCCCGGAAAATTGAAAAATGATGCTTCTTCATCCCCTACTGAAAATGATGTGCTGCATGTACATTGTGTTCTCTACGGGTTTAAGGTTAATTTTTTGGTTTCTATTATTCAGCAAAAAAAAACGAAAACAAGAACTGAATGTTGATGAATCTGACAGGCATGAAATGTCATTTGCAGTAAGTGTGAACTGGGCCTGAGCAATATCTACAAATAATTAGCACGATATTCTAGTCAAAAAACTGTGATTATCGATAATATTCCCCACCCCCCCCAAACAAAATTACATGCGGTCCGCAGCAGCTTTGACCAACTTTTTATTCTATTTTAATCAATGCTTTGTTTTTGTTTTTTTTGTTTTTTTTTTTTATTTTTACCCGATTTTCTCCCCAATTTAGTCGTCTCCAATTCCACCCGCTAGTTAGGACTCCCCCAATCACACGATGCTATCAACGCTAGGAGGGTGAAGGCTAACACAGGCTTCCTCCAAGACCTGTGAAGCCAACCACCGCTTCTTTTCGAACTGCCACTCACGCAACGTCATTGGACAGCCGAACGCGCTCGGAGGAAAGCGCCGACCGCCAGATCTGTTACGTCAGCTAACAGACGCCTGCGCTGACTAGCATCGCGCTGAGTGATGGGGGGAGAAGGAGGGGACATCCCACCCTCCCAGAGAGAGCGAGGCCAATTGTGCTCTCTCGGACTCCCAGCTACGGATGGCTGTAGCATCACCAGGGATCGAACTCGCGATCTCCTGATGATAGGGCCAACGCTTAGACGGTTGCGCCACTCGGGAGCCATCTATGCTTTGTTTAATATTAACTGTTTTAATGAAAATATTTAATGAAACTCACATATAGAATAATATGACTGAAAACTACTTCGACTACTTAACTACTTAATGTCATTATAATAAACGTCACTGCAAACGCGTACGTTTCTGAGCTTCTTCTGCCACAGATTCGTGGCGACTTGCATTCTGACTGCACTCCCTGTTGGAGAAACTTCCGACTGCAAGTGATTTCCGAAGACGTGCCCACACTCTTTCCACTTTAAAAACAAGGCGTTTTCCGTCGTTACAGTGGAGTTGATTCAAATAATCACTGGGACACTTAATGTGTACAGAAAATACTGCACGCCGGCTGCAGACGAGATCAGGGGAACTTTCGCTTCTTTACAGTAAGAAGAGAGTAGAGTAATTTAACTACTCTACACTAGCATCTAGACATTCCAACTCATTTTGATACTGCAGTGAGTCACTTTGAGGTGAGCTGAAGTTCCAAAGCATGTCAGTGTTGTCAGTCTAGCATTCATGTCCATATATAGGGTGAACTATGACACTGCATCTATTATCTACACAGAGGCAAATACTGGATCAGATTCGATATTAAGGACAACTGAAGATCATAGAAAGCGAATGGTTTACAGTAAAACTGATTACTAGACTACGGCCATAAACAGTTAAAAGACCTGATAAACAGTTAAATCTAAGTAAGAACACACTCACCAATGGGTTTCTGACAGATTAGGCCATCTGTGCTGGCAGTGCAGGGTTTAGTTCTGAGTCCAGTCACTTGGGTTTTCTCCAGGTGCGCACAGAAGCCAGAGTCACTGGGCTCCCCTTGTAACCAGTGCAACGTGTTGTTTGTGAAAGGAGACAAGTCTTCCCAGCCCCAGTACGACACATTTATCTTCCTCAGACCCACCCAAGGAGACAGATTCTGCAAAAAAGAAACGTTACAGCTATTCATATTTGTCTAATAGGTGCTGCTGCCAAAAACCAAAAACTGCAGAACCAACTCTCATGTATTTCCAAAACAGCTTAACAACTATAAGAGAGAGAAAGGGTGAACAAGGGGTGCAAATGTTAAGAAAACACACCATAAAGCGAATTTATTGCTATTTTTCTTGATGCATTACTGTGCAAATATCATAGACCTCCCTTCATTTATTTATTTTCCAGTCAAAACGGCCATTAAAATACAAGTAAATCATTTTTCAAACAACAAGTACAAAACATATTGCACAGAAAAATACACAAAAGCCTTTTCGGGAGGCTTTCTTTCATTTTTTAAAGAAATTTACAGGGATATTTTTCAGTCCAGCCGTAGAAGTTTTGTATTTTCCATGTATTCCAATCCAAGTAATCCCAAACACATGTTGCAATGTTGAGGTCTAGACTCTGAGTTGGTCAGTCCATTGATCTGAGAACACCAACAGCTTCTTTGCTTGACTAGCACATTTCTTCTTTTGGTTTACCTCCTCAGAAAGTGCTTCTTGACACCTACACATCCTTTCAGACCCCCAGTGCTGTCTTCTCACAGTGGAAGGATGGTTAGAAAGACCTGTGGAGTCACATTTTCTGTGTATCTTTTAATTACTCTATTTATCATTTAACTACATTTAACATGCAAACATTTATCTTCCACTTATCCCCTTATTAAGCAGTTAGATTATTTTATATCTACTCTTCTCAGATATATCAATTGAAAAATAAATAATTTGTCTAAAACCTTATGACTACAAATGAAATAAATGAAGGGCGACTGTGATGCTCAATACTGAACGTTGTGGTTGGTTAGAGGACTCTGCATTCATCTGCCAAATCATAATAACGATTAAGAAACAATATATTGTGCAGCCCTAGATAACACCACAGTTATTCTCTTTCACTGCACTGCTGTTAAATGAGGACTGGGAGATGTCTAATGCAGTTATTCAGCACAAAGGTTAATTCATTATGAGGACTTTAAGGCCACATGAAGTTAAACACAGATTAAAGAGATCCAACAGTACATTATTCATTGAGGCCCTTTTTCCTGTGATGACAGAGTGGCTGTAAGTAATCCTCACAATTCTGCTTAACAAGTTGAATGGATTTTGACCCCGTGTTCAGGCTGTCATAAAAAAGTTAATACGACCTTGTGTGTTTGGAGAATACTTTAAATTATCTAAAACAGGAAAGAGAGATTCATCTTCATAAACCTCTGCGTGAACTCTTATTTTGCAAGGTACATGGAAATTGCAAAAAATTTTGAACTACAACAGTTTCCAAAAAAGTTGGGATGCTGTGCAAAATGTGAATAAAAACAGAATGCAACGATGTGCAAATCATTTAAACCCTATATTTAATTGAAAGTAGTAAAAAGACAACATATCAAATGTTGAAACTGAGAAATTTTATTGTCTTTTAAAAAATGTCCAATTTTTGATGCCAACAATACGTTTCAAAGAAGTTGGGACGGGACAACAAAGGCTGGTAAAGTTGTGTAATGCTGAAACTGGTGAAACATCTCACAACTATTTAGATTAACTAGCAACAGGTCAGTAACACGACTGGATATAAAAAGAGCATCCCGGGCTCCCGAGTGGCGCAACCGTCTAAGCGTTGGCCCTATCATCAGGAGATCGCGAGTTCGATCCCTGGTGATGCTACAGCCGTCCGTCGCTCTCTCTGGGTGGGTGGGATGGCTGCCCGTCTCCCCCCCATCACTCACTCAGCGCGATGCTAGTCAGCACAGGCGTCTGTTAGCTGACGTAACAGATCTGACAGTTGGCGCTTTCCTCCGAGCGCGTCCAGCTGTCCAATGATGTTGCGTGAGCGGCAGCTCAAAAAGAAGCGGTGGCTGGCTTCACAGGTCTCGGAGGAAGCCTGTGTTAGCCTTCGCCCTCCTAGCGTTGATAGTACCGTGTGACTGGGGGAGTCCTAACTAGCGGGTGGAACTGGCGACCACTAAATTGGGGAGAAAACCGGGTAAAAATTGAAAAAAATAAGAGCATCCCAGAAAGGCTTTCAGAAGTAAAGATGGGGAGGGGTTCACCACTCTGAAAAACTGCCCTGGCAAATAGTGCAACAATTCAAGAATAACATTTCTAAAGTAAAACAGCAAAGAAATTGGGGATTTCATTATCTATAGTACATAATATCATTAAAAGATTCAGAGAATCCAGAGAAATCTCTATATGCAAACAACAAGGTCGAAAACATATACTGCATATATATGCTGGCCGTGCTCTCTGGGCCCTCAGGCAGCACTGCGTTAAAAAACAGACACAATTCTGTAGTGAAAATCACTGCATGGGCTCAGAAACACTTAAGAAACCACTGTTTTGAACACAGTTCATCGCTGCATCCACAAATGCATATACAAGCTCCATCATGCAAAGAAGAAAGCATATATAAACAGGATCCAGAAACCTCCCCACCTTCTCTGGGCCTGAGCTCATTTAAGATGGACTGAAGTGAAGTGGAAAAGCATCCTGTGGTCCAACGAATCAAAATTTGGAATTCTTTTTGGAAATCATAGACGTGTCCTCTGAGCTAAAGAGAAGAGGGACCATCCGGTTTGTTATCAGCGCACAGTTCACAGCTCTGTATTAAAAGAGTCCAGGTGCTAAACTGGCCAGCCTGCAGTCCAGATCTGTCACCCCATTGAAAACATTCGGCACATTATGAAACGAAAAATACAACAAAGGAGACCCTGAACTGTTGAGCAGCTGAAATCCTATATCAAACAGGAATGGGAAAACATTTCACTTTCAAAACTACAGCAGTGTCTCCTCAGTTCCCAAATGCTTACAGAGTGTTATTAAAAGAAGAGGTGATGGAACACAGTGGTAAACCTGTCCCAACTTTTTTGAAACTTGTTGCTGGCACAAAATTCAAAATTGGCGTATATCTTTCAAAAAACAATAGAGCTTCATTTCATATGTTGTCTTTGCACTATTTTCAATTAAATACAGGGTTTAAATGATTTGCATATCATTGCATTCTGTTTTTATTTACATTTTGCACAGTGTCCCAACTTTTTTGGAAATGGGGTTGTACATTTCTGGGGAAATAAGATCCATGTGAAAATGATTCTACGTATACAGCCACTATATGTGACTCTGTTGTCAAATAACAAGGCCATATATGCTGTCTGTGTTACAAGAAGAGTCTAGAATGTGGTACTTAGGAGCAAAGCAAACTAAATTTGGCACACCGCACACTGCATTCCTACCGTGCTTCAACATGAATCAACAACCTCCTTACGAGAAAAGGACTTGTGTGCTTTGATTTAAAATGACAAATATGGAAAATCCCCTTTCTGGTTAGTGTAGCCATGGGGAGCGAGTGTGGATGAGTGACAGCCAAAAAGAAAAAGAGCGGCAGCGGAAAAACTGGTGCCTCTGCATCTTTTTCACATCAAAAGTGAAGCCTTTAAAGAACTATGTTAATCTTCAAAGGCCAGACAAAAGCTGCTTAAACCTCAAACATACACCGCAGTCGGTGAGGGAGAGGAAGAGAGAAGGAAAGGGGCCGTTTTCTCTTCTCTTTTCAATTAACACATGGCTAATATTTACCCCAGCGCATCAGGGGACACAATCAACCACCAATGTCCTGCTGAACTGCGATGTGTGTTAAATTCTGATCAGATGCTGATAAGCAAAATGCCACACTGGAATTCTGGAAATAAACTAAGGCTGCAAGATACACATCTGATTTGGATAAACCTCTGCACTCAACCATCAGCAAGATATACAAGTGTGCATGTTTATTTGGAGAGACGTAGGAATGCATAGAGACGTCATTTTTTAAAAGGTTCACACTGTAATCCATATATGATTCAATGCAGTGGGCACAAGACAGGTTTAAACAGGTTGAAACAAAGACAGATCACTGATTAACTTTACATAGTCATGTTACAGAACTGATTTGCACTTGTTTCAGGTGCAGTATTGAGCACTACTTAAGCAACAGAACACGAGAGGGAGTGTGTTATCACGAAATAACATCACGGCCGCGATAACACATGACCTCGAGTGTTCTATTGCTTTTATACAACAGTTTAATAAATAAAGTAAGAAATTAATAAACTGGGCCGTGAACGTGGCATTTAATGTTTTGATGTTGGCGATTCCTTTCGCCAAATTATAGTTCCTTAACAAGCAGCTCGTTACTACGTCAGAGTAACGAGCTCCGCCCACTCGCTGCACAGCCGGCAGTTCGTTCTCCAGCTCAACACAGACCAACTGATAGTTTTGGAATTTAGTGTAGTCTCGTCTTCAGAGTCTGACCAAATCAGCTGTCGGTCAAATGTGATCTTAAAAGTACCCATAAGAAGTAAAAACGTTCAAATGGCTTGAGAGTCTCATACAGCTGTCAAAGTCGTTGCTTAGCAACGGCATCTCAGTGGAGTGATAGAGTGTTTGTGAAAAACCTGTGATGTTATGGCGAAATAACAGCACGGTTAGAACGCTTCTCAACCAATCAGCTGGTTGGCCGGAACTAACTGTCGTATAAAAGTTTATAAAACACAACTGTAATATTCCAAAATATGAGCTTTGTTAATTTTCTAAGTGAAAATAAGTCAACACATCTTGTACAGAGAACAAATTTAAGGCCCTCTTCTGCACAATTTAGTGCACAATTTCTATGTATTTTCTGAGATGAACATATCAGAAAATAAAATAATATTAAATGGGCCACAACTTTTGCACAGGCCAAAGGTTATGTTTTATTTTTTCCGGAATATGTTAAATTCAAGCGAACTGTATTTGTAGATTAAAATGTGCCCCGGGATCAAAATTATTTGATTTCTTTCACAATTTTTAGAGCTTAAGATTCATTACTCACAATAAGCATTGGGACAATGCAGGACAGATTGTGTGGATTTACAGGATTCTTACTAGATCATCTAGTGCACTCGCTTTTAGCATTGAAAGACAAGCCATTCAGAGCATTCACAGACTTCAATCTTTGTTTTTTAGTTACACAATAACAATGCAGATTAAATTCATAATGTATTTTGACAGTAATGTTTCATCTTACTTCACAGAAGTACTTCTTTCAGAGGTTCTGATATTTGCTTAAGCATGAACGGCACCTAGTGTTTGTTCCCTTTTTAAGCAGGGACTCTCTGCTAAACCTTCCTTCTGCACCTGCAATAAAAGAGAATGCGAATGGGAAATCATAATGCACTTTTCCTCCTTATTGTGAGATATTTAGTGTGTATTTAGAGGGTCTCTGAACTAGCTAAGTATTTTCTTTCATGTGATTTTATTTCCATCTGGATCGGCCATGTCGGTGTTTTTTCCCTCCTCCCTTCAGAAAATTACAGGTCAAATTACCTACTGTTTTTCAATGAGCTCAGCGGTGGTCTGACAATTTTAGTCCCGTCCGGATACAATTTGCAGTGATTTTCCAGGCAGACGTCACTGTGTGTTGGAAAAAAGGTTTTTGACAGCCGCTCTTTGCCGTATTTAGTCTCCTAGTGTGCGTTTCCATATTACACACTTCTCGCACTGCAAAAATGTGGATGGTTTGGAAGAGTCTCTCAACAATTAAACTGGTTTGGGTGGTAGAACTTCTCTACCCTCTCTACACTGGAAGAGCATCAGTAGGAAGAGAAAGAAAATAAACTCACAATCAGAAGAGTTAGATCCCACAAGCTGTTTGAAGGGGCTAATATAATGGCAACTACACTTACAAAGCAATACTTTCTGTTTAGAATATCTTGAACTTTCAGTTTTCTGTGATCATGTGACCACATGTGACACAAACATCCAGGTTTGTAGAAAATACAACCCACAAGAAACTGGCCCTGCAGTAATTTTATCATCACCAAGGAGTAAAATTAAGTAAAAATTTACTGACATCCCCCTCATAAACGAATCCAAACCAAATAGGGCTTTTGTTGCTCTGTTTTTTCTCCCTTGTCATTTAACATTTTACGCACATTGTTCATATTTTTCGGGACCGTGCCTGTACTCGCTACATATACAGTTTATAGCTCAATATCTGCAGACCTATTGGCGCAAGACTCAGGAATGAATTTCAGGCTATATGTGCATGAAAATATTTGTAAAAAACATTTGTAACTTACTTGTTCTTGTCGCTGTAATCTCTGCAGTTCCACCAGTACAAAATCCACCTGTTTAGCTGAAGTAAGTGACGCAATGTTTCCATTCAGGTTTTTACAGTAGTGCTGGGCGTTGTCGTAACTGTCTCTGCTGGGGTTTAGTCTCAGACAGACCTCGCCAACATGACTCCAGCCTTCACCACACAACTGGACTGAGCAGAAAGAGCATACACAAAATCACATAATGTGAAAAGGTAGATTACAGCTATGTAGTATGGCCCAAATGCAGTTGATGGCATGAATGAACCACCTAATTCTTATTATATAAACATCCTTTACTATTTAAAAGTTCATAACACTTTCATAATTAAAGTCTCCAACTGTCACCAGCAATGTAAAGTTTGTGGGGCGGGGGGGGGTCAATAGCATATTATCACAATATTCTACGCAACCATTTAAGGGTGAATCTGAACAAGAAGCTGGCAAATAAGAAGCTGACTTTTGCTTTGTTGATGGCAAAGCCAACACTGAATCAGCTCCATCAAAAAACCAAACAACTCTGGACACATTTAGCTTGACAAAGCTACCTTCCAATTCCATGTGAGCTAAGAAAACAATACAATCCATCACCTACTTCTCGTGCAAAGACCTGCGTCCATGCAACATTGAGGAAAACAAAGGCACAGTCGTACCCAAGCTCTACAGAGAAGTGAAGCTTAAAGTTGAGGAATCTTTGAGTACAGCAAAAACGATTGCAATAATTTGCGCTCTCCAAACTAGAACAGTACACAAAAAGTTACAATGGGGCTCTGCGGCTTCGTTTGGGCTCCAAATTTCTGATATTTTGTCTTTGTACTATTATTAATTAAATATAGGGTTTAAATGATCTGCACTTCATTGCATTTTGGTTTTATTTACACTTTGCACAGCCTCCCAACTTTTTTGGAAATGGGTTTGTAATTCGCACATCTGATCTAGCTGTATCAAGGCTATGTAAAATTAAATAATGATCTACTCAAATACTCTTGCTTTGGACAAAGTCTTAGTCTATGTGCAGAGGTACAAAGTGTAAAATAGCAGAAAGACTTTCAATGCACTTACATCAGAATGCACAACACTGACTTCCTAATGTTACAGTGTGTGCTTTCCCACATAATATGCATACATTTGCAGGATTAACATAAATTCTCCAGTAAAGCTAGCACTTTCTGTCTTTCACGCAACAAGAAATTATTACCATTCGCACCACAGCAACAAAGCCATAACTCCTCTGTTGTCACTTCATGGAAATTAGATTTAAACTTTGATGAATTCCATCACCTCCTTAACAACTTCATCATCATCTGCATGTGTGAACACACACTGACAACAGACAACAGCGTCTTAGCATTGCAAGTGCTTGAGCCACTAATTTAATATCTCTGTTTACATGTACAGTGTTTTTTGGAAATGTTATAATGTTTTGAGGTGATGCTTTGCGCTATTCACACATGGCTTCTAAACGTGGAAAAGTGCCATTACGTTTAGTGCATGATGGCACTGAATGAATGTTTACAATCTATTTTATATCCACATGCATCATATGTTAAATCCGGGGATCTCAAAGCATTTGCATTAGCCATCAGAGAAAATTCAAGTTTAAGGGTCCTACAACCTCAGCCGTGTATGACTGAGAGAGGCTGAAAGGCGACCCTGTGTTTATTATTCTTTACTTCAGTCTGCTCTGCTCTGCCTGCTGCTTTCTCAGTCTTCAGCACGAGAAAAGGGAATGATCTCTTCTTGGATACTCATCAGAGACCTCCTCTGTGGGAGACATTATCTAATAATAGTATAAGCCACATATCCAAAATAAACCGAGGGGTTCCTGAAATGAAACCAGACTGGTTATTTTTGCTCTGTTGGCCGAGTGCGGTTTCCTAATTTACAATGAGATTTTTTCTTGTTTTGCTTTCAGAAATTGGAGAAGCGTTTGGGTGGGTGTTTGTGGCTAACCAGTGTAACTGAACATCACTCCAGCGTTCTGTAAAGAGGCACTGGTGCTTAGAAGACTTCTCCAACTCTTGCTAACTACTTTAAACACCTGATGTACAGCACAGTCCATAGGTAACTGGACAGTGACTACTTTTCTAGGGATGCAGTGATATGGAATTTCTGGGCTGCTAACAACAACCATTCATTATTCTTTCTGTGGTCATGATAATTGAAAATTTTATGCTTTACTTTATAAGTGGTTTACTTTAGTTTTTAGTTTTATTTGTATTTCTCTCTCCAATTTTTTAATTTGATAGTTTTAATTATTTTAGTAGCTTATTTTATTTTATTTTGCTTTTTTTTCAATCCCTTTGTATTGTTAATCTTGCTTAGCTGCACTATAAATTAATTTAGCGGCCTATTTTTAGGAAGTGCATGCGCTGATGCATGTATGGTCATTAAAGCCACTTCATTAATAGTCCTTGAGTAAGGCTCACTGACCTATCATTGTAAGTACATATGAGGTCTGGTAAATAATGTAAAATATGTACATAAAATATTGTAAATTTTTACTGATTGAAAGTGGGATCAACCTTCTATTGCACACTTCTATAACTTAAGAATAACTCAATCAAGTTTACACTGTAGTCCATGTAGTTACTGATTAATAAACCTTAATACGTCATAAGCCTGGGATTTTAAGGGGTTAAAATAAATCCACACTTTAATCCATATATTATCAATGAGGTTGTTTTTACTCAGAGACTGAGTTTCCAATTAACCAGCATGACAATCTGCTGTAGTCTACATTTTCACAACCTTGGAAGTGCATTTGATTTTACTGCTCTCCACAGGACTTGTGGGATAACAAATGTGTGTTTGCGTCCATGCCCATATGTGTGTGTAAATGTCTGAAGACTCTCTCCCATGATGTGATTTTCATGGTAGTGACAAGGACAAGCAATCAGTCTCAGGTAGCACCAAGCAGTGAGGCTCTCTCACTGATATCCTTGAGTGAAAGTTGATAACTGAGGACACATGACTAACCGGAGTGGAGTGAAGACACCAGATTAACCCTAAGGTGTCATAGTGATAACAAAGACATGGTGTAAATCATTATAAATTATTTCTCACTCGTAGCGGAGACAAGCTGAAACAAGCTGAGAAATTATATGGAAAGTGCAGATTCTAAACTCTTAATTCACACTACATTTGTCTTTGTAAGTAGAAGGGGAGATATTTTCTTATGATACAACTGAACCTGTACATAGAATATAAAGCATATCACTGCTGTCAGAAGAAAACCTTGTATCTCCATTTTTGCCGTTTTTCTGTTTTTGATCATTTGAAAAAGCATGTTGTCCTTTACATTGTGTGTAAATTTCTTGAAGATTGGACTAAAGGAAACGGTCCAAAATGACTTGGAAAAACGTCTGGTTCCACTGACTTACATTTAAAGTAGGTTTTTTCCTTCTAACGTAAAGTTACCATTTTGGAGATACAAGGTTTTCTTCTGAAAACCACGATATGTAAAAGAATTTAATTAAATCATAAATTAAATAAATTATTATGTAATTAAATATGTGATTTTCTATTTACATTTGGAACAGTATAGTAAAACAAAAGTTATAACTTTCAACTTCTAAGGGTTAGTCACATCCACAGACTTTATACAGCACTGCAAGCACTGTATATGTCTTTGAGCTGACAGCAAATTGATCTGAATTGGTTTCAATTCAAGCTTCTTTTAAGAAATATTATGATGCATTACAGTATGTCTAAAAGACTTCCCTTAAACCATTCATATCCCAAGCATACTACATACTAAGGCTTATTATTTAGTAACTACACAGACTTCAATGCAAACTAGTTGAGCTATTCTTAGGTTATAGAAGTGTGTAATAAAACTTTGGGCCCACCAGCAGGCCCTGGCTATGAAAGGGGTTAATGTTTCTCAAAGGAAACCTCAATCGGTCAAACTACTTTTGTAATGTTTATTCCAAGAACAGAACAAACAAAGAACGCTTCTTTCAGCACAACGATTTGCAGTGTCTCCACACCACAGATGATTTGTCTAGGTCAGTAGGTCTCAACCTGGCGAGTGTGTTTGTGTTAAGAAAAAAAAGCCTATATTTTGAGTAACATGTCTTTAAGAATGATTGTTCCCAAAAATCTCCTCACTCTCTCTCAGTAATACTGTGGTGGTGACTCCTCTGCTTTGCATATGAGGAGAGGATGCTGTTTAGCTGCTGAGATGCTGTAGCCCCTCAGTTGTTTTCTGTGAGTTCAAGTTCAGTACAGGCTACATGCCATTTATTTTTCCAAATAAAGAGCTCTGTTTGGGTTCACTGCAGCATCTACTGCTTCATTCCCTACCGTCACCAATACAATATCACACTATCTAAGTGAAAACAGAGAGCGACTGGAGGGTGACTTCAGAAGCGAGTTTCTTTTACCATCGATAAAGATGCATTTGGGAGGATTTTTAAACAATGCATCATAAAAACAAATGAATTATTACTTGACTAAGCATGACAGTTTTGCTTTTATCTCATATTGTTCAGCAGAAGATTCACTGTGATGACAATTACATATGCAATTCTAATTAATATATATTATATATGCACAAATGACAGACAGGTGGTATTTTTTAAGTTTATATGCCTGTGAATGCGCTGCACATACACAGAGAACGACTTTCATTATATTGAAAATGTAGGGCAAACACAAAGAGCATACACCCTCTTCAGATAGGTAGAAAACATGGCTCCCTGTGGGAAAACACTACAAGCGGCTTAATAATGCATCAAACGTGCACAACTTCCTGCTTTCACATTTTTCTGGGATCAAATGAAACAGGTCTAGATCTCCTCAGAGTGCTGTAGGTTCTTCTTGGACTTGGATAACTGAATAAATGATTTATATGTTAATAATTAAGTTATTTATTGTTATTTAACAGAGGTGGGGCAAGTGTCGGTAAAGTATACATCTATCCTTACATACACTACCATCCAAATGTTTGGAATCAGTGTTTTCGAACTTTATATAAATTCTATTTGGTTTCAGTTGCTTGCATAAAATTATTGAGAAATTTTAGATTTTTGTCTAAAATGATGACCAGATCAGTAACAGGTTAATAGCCACAACCATACTACCCACAAAACGCGCTGTCCATCTGTCACTTCAACACCAACCTCTGAGTGTGCTCTGATTCTTTATCCTCTAAATGGGTGTTATTTCAAAATCAGTTACTGAAACTAAGCCTGCACTGCGGTGGGTCGACCTCTAGCCGGCTAACAGCTCAAGGCACCACAATACAATTCTGTTTTTTATCTTTCTGTCTCTTCAACAACAGATATTCAATTTTTTACTCTCAGATATGAGTTTTTATCCTCTAACTGGGTATTTGCATACACTACCAAATGTTTGGAATCAGTGATTTCAATTATATACATTCTATTTGGTTTCAGATATTGGCATAAAATTATTCTATTATGCTAAACTTGAGCTATTTCTCAAGTTTTAAATAATACACAGAAAGTTGTACATAAAAATTGGGAAATTTTAGATTTCTAGATTTCTTGTCTAGAATGATGACCAGAGCTGTACATTATTCTAAAATGCCTGGGAACGCATGAGAAAGAAAGCTCTAATAAATTGAACATCCAAAATGCCTTATATCAAAATACAAGGCATATAACCTGAGTTTCTGCTTTCAAATGCTTTTTAATAGATACTCATAGTACATTATCTATCTATTAATAACTTTCTGAAGTATTGAATAAAACATGCAAACAGTTTTAAAAAATCATGCCAACTGCAGCAGAGCCCGACTCGGTTGCGAAAGAGGTTTCTAAAAGTTTCCAAATACCCAAAGCGTCGAAAGCATGGGAGTAAATTAGCACAAAACTAAAAGGAGGTTTGTGCACTGTGCAAAGTTTAGAAGGCACACCACAGCAGCACTAGCACGACGCACAAGCGCCTGAAGAGAAAACACTATTGCTATTCTGGATTATGGACTGCCAGAAAAGGCGAAATCATAATGTTGTCTATTCATGTTTACTAAATTCCCACTTAATAGGGAATTTAATAGCCGTTTAAAATCTGCTGTTCTTCTAGTTGATAAATACACTCAATATTAAAGCCATAAAGTCATCTGCCTGCCTCCCTTAGACTTTCTACTGAATAAGTGTTTGAGAAAATTTTTAGGCTATTATCTGGGCTTATTCTACATTGACTGACGGTGTCAGGATGTGTGTTTGTGCGTTTTGGGCTTCATGAGATATGTACCTTATCTAATTATCTTACTTTTGCCATTATTTTAAGCACATTTCTTTATGTAGGGAATGTCATACATTGATTTTTTGGAGAAAAAAAAATAATTTAGATTAATTTACTCATCATTAAAACAGTCAATAGATTCATTGATAAAGAATAGTTGTTAGCGGCAGACCTAATATTTTATATAAAAAATAAAGATCACAAGTGATTTAAAACTTCTGAATTGTAACGTACAACTGCAATGAACATGTATACACTTAGTTTGACATTTAATTTTTTTGGAAAAAAATATTTTTGAGGCCATTCTTGGCTTTTTTTTTTACATTAAAATACAATTCATCCACCCATCCACCATTTTCTCACTGGGCATGGCATGGCACTCCTGCATCTGTGGCTCCCACTGGCAGTTGATGTTGACAGAGCAGCTTCTGCAGTTGGTCAGCTCACTGCATATCTGCTCACTGCGGACGTGGCATTCAGTGAAGTTCTTCACAGACTGAGAGACAAGAAAAACAGTGCTCACACTTCAATAAAGGGATCACCTCTGCACAGTGTCACTGCATATCATTAAAATAGGTAGTGAGAGATACAACCGTCATATTACCCACATGATACCTGAATTATTATTATAGAATCAAGCATTAGTCAGCTAGAACTGTGGTAGGTAGCACTGTACACTCACCTAGAAGGCTACAGCTTAAAACTCTACCGAACAGGTTTGATTTTGGCTTTCTGTCACTCCGACACCAATCACTGAACCTCTACTCGGGGGGGGCTGGGTTCTCTTAGCTAAGCTATGCTAGCTCGGAGAAAGGAGCCAGCTAGCATTAGCTTAGCTAGGAAGCTTCAGCTCAAAACACCACAGAACAGGTTTAATTTCAGCTTTCTGTCCGTCTAACACCAGCTGCACAAATTTGTTTCTTAGATTTGTGTCACTGTCATCTAACAAGTAACAGCATCAGTAAAACTTCTGCTAGTCAGAATCAAACCTGTTCTGTGGTGAGCAGAGGTGGCAGCCTGCAAGCTGAGCTAATGCTAACCAGCTCCTCTCTCCTGGCTATGGTGTTAGATTGGAACTTTGGCGTTTATTGAATGGTGGATTTCTGCAGTCACGCAGTGCTTTCATTTATTTGGTGTCCGTGTGAAAGAACTAAACTTGTTTTTGGGTTTGAAATAATGCAGCAGGACGTAGTGGCACAATACAGACATAAATATAGAACCAATCAGGGAACAACGTCATCGTTACATCATCTCAACGGACAGTTCTATAGCCCCAAGCATGGTTAGCTAACCGTGTCGAAAAAAAATGTGCTGAGCCCGATTTTTAAGTTTTCCATGTCGAACCATGTCATTGTGGGAATGGCACTGGAGTGGTTACCCGCTGTGCTCATAACCGTTCGGCCCTGCAGTGGAAAAAGAGGCAATAATGGCTAATAATGACGAACAATAAACTGCCGTCATATTTTTAATTAGGACACGCAGAAGCTAACAGTGAGAATTCGCCTTCTTCGTGAACCAAAAGTGGTCTCTGCTGGCTGGTCTCAGTTTCCCTGTAACAGCGACACCTGCCATAATTTACTGACAGAAAACAGAGTAATTACACTGACTTTTGTCACAAACTATATTTAAGTTAGTTATAACTTAGCGATCGAGATCCGAGTAATTAAATATTTATTTTTAATCTAAAATATTTTCACTGATTTAAAACAAAGTTTTATACATTTATACACCTTTTTAAAAGGTAAATGCTCTAAAAAGGCTGACACGCCCAGGAGGACACACTAGGCTTCGCAATGAATATCAAAACTAGAGCGAAAAATTACATGGCAGGGGACTATTTCCCCTTGTGTAAATGTTTTTTAATAGTTTTGATACTTTACGTACTTTCCGTGTTTTAGTCTTCACATCCCTCACTACATTTACGCTGTTTAGCAGACGCTCTTATCCAGAGCGACTTATAAAAGTGCTTTGTTGTCCATGTATTAAAATGCATTATTCTTTGTTATCAAATCAGAGAATGTACTAAAATAATTAAAATTTTCCATTATTACCTTTTATGCCAAAAAGTTGGAGCTCGAACTACTCAATTTAGCAGAGCACAACATAGTTTTATACAACTCTGACAACAGACTTTACTTATATGTTCATAAGTGCCTTTTTCTTGCAAATTTCACTGAATCGTGACTTTGCTGACTCAAAGTCTTCTTGTGGGCTTGCGGAGACACTTGGGTTCGGACTAGAGCAGGGCTCATTAAATCATAAGTGAATCCTGACCTGGAGCCCAAGTCTTTTTTTGTCTTAAATCTCATGAGCTGAAAAACAGAATATGCCCAGCAGAGCCAACAGTCTACTGAAAGTTAGACTAAAAGCACTGTAGTCATTATAATATGGTATTGCGTTTAGATGAATGTAATTTATGACTCATCGTTCAACATAATGTAGGCTTCTGTTTATCACTGATAGGTCAGCGTGATCTTCCCAGCACAGGAGGCTGAATACATGAATCAGTTTTTGAATACAGAATTACCTTCAGCCTACTACCAGTAACAGAGAAATGCACAGTACATAACTAATTATCTAAAAATAACAAAATGGAAGCTTCTAGGCCAAACACAATTTGCTTCCTATTTTTCTGCTGGTTTGTCAGTGAAATGTCAGCGTACCCCTACATATAACAGCTTATTTATAACATTTATTTCATGAATTTAATCCAGAATAATGAATAAAGCATGTAATGGCATTAGAAGGAACAATTCTTGTCGTTTTTTTTTGTTTTTTTTTCAAACACAGGGGTGCATCCGTTTTTTCAAATAAGAGAAGAGCTGTATCTAGCTGGACATTAGTTTGGGATACCTTTGCATTAAGATAGTAGTTGGGACTTAAAAGGTATTAAAACCTTTAGTAGTCAGGAGTTATTAGTATCGTTCGTCAGTTTTCTTCAAAGGTTCTATTTACATTCTATATTCACAGGCTCATGTCTGCACTTCAGACATTTTTTCGTTTGGTTCCATGTCAAGTTGAAAGAAACACAGCAAAAATATAAAATGTTTTCCTTTCACAAAACAAGACTGTACACACTACAACGACTTTTCATTAAATTCATCTCATAATAAAGTATCTGTGACATTTTATTTGTAGGCTACCTAAATAGGTACTTCACAGCAGAGGCAAAAGCATTTGATAACATTGTCTAAAAGCAATGTTTGAGCATTTACAAACAGCTTATGTCAGCATTTTCAAGATCAAACTGTTGTTTATGAAGTGAATGACACTGTATTGACACAAAGACCCTTAAACTACAGCGACAGACAGTTCTTCCATTAACGACACTGTTATGAAGCATCATTCCCAAGTAATGGAACTTACAAGGCACCAGGGATAGGGCGATGGAGACTGCTGCAGTAAAAGCATCTACTCTTCTGGGTAAGGCTTTAGACTGTTGGAACATTGCTGTGAGGATTTGATTGCATTCAGCCACAAGAGCATTAGCAAGGTCAGGTACTAATGTTGGATGATTAGTTCTGCATCCCTTCAACTCAAAGATATTGGATGGAGCTCAATCACTCCAGAGAATACAGTGCCACTGCTCCCCTGCCCAATATTTAGGAGCTTTATACCCCTCTAGCTGATGTTTGGCATTGAGCATGGTGACCTAAGGCTCATGTGCGGCTGCTCCAGAGAGTCCCATTCTATCCACCAGTGCTTTTCTATGAAGATTATACAAGCTGTGTGTGAACAACTGAACACCTGTATCAGTAATTGGTGCACCATCAAGGACCTGTATTCACTAATTAAAAAGGAAAATGGGATACATTTGAACATGTAGTGTATATCAGCTCTATAAAACATGCCCTAAAACAAAAATAATATGGGTAGGTGGATAATTGATAATGGATGATGTTTCATAACTGTGTTATAAACATATAAGAATTGTCCAACACTTTAGTTTCAAGGCTCTTTAATCAGAAAATGTAATTTACTTCATAAAACATCTTATTAATACTGCCACAAAGTGTTCATAAATCCTCAAGTATAGCTTGCTGAATAGGTTTTCCGATGTTTACGCTTGTGTTATGAAGGCCTTACATGTAGGAAGCCTTCAAATAATAAAATATCTACTCCTCTACTTACAGACAAATGTGGTATGGATTGAAACTTTAGAATCTGCCCTTCTACACACAGCTCAATTTCTTGGTATGTTTCAATGAGCTATGAGTGAGACAACTAAGATTGAATGATTTCACGATTTTTTATATTGCTGGCAATTACTGTGACTTCTACTGGTTAGATGTTTTGTCCAGGTGTCTGGACACACCTGAGCGCAGCTGCTGGAAGCAGAGATGCACTTCTTATCCTCACACCACTGGCAGCCTTTGGTGTTGGCGGTGCAGGAGGAGCAGTCAGAGTAGTGGAAGCACTGCTCATCTGTTGCATCTGCAGAACAACATCAATAGAGAGGGCTAAGTAATCACATCATAAAATCAATTCAACTGGAGGATTTGAGCTGTTCCAGAGGTAACAAGACCTTGGCATTCATTTTCCCACTCATGTTAAGACACATACAAAATACTGATGAAATGTCTTATAACTCTAACGTAGTTAGAAACCTACAAGTCTTTACCACGGCACGACAGCAAAAAGCATGTTTCCTCATAAGCACACTTTAATAGGTAATGAATTCTGGCAAAATTGAAAAGTTAATCACACATTTAATGACGCAATACATGTAATTAATATTTTCTTCATATCCTCATATTCCTAATTGAATTTCTCAAGGCTCAAATGGGGAAAAGTGTTGCCACTTTTTAGACTACTGACTATGGCCAGTGATTAATATATCACAGTAGATGAGAGCAACGGAGTTCATCTAAGTACATGAGTTTGATGTAAAATTTACAGAATGATGTTTTCGTAATACACACTGTTCATGGCAGATATGAGTCAATCTCTCCAAAGAGGTAAAAGAAATAACATAATACATTAGAGATATATGGACCCTAATAATCTACAGACAAGACACTGAAACTAGGGATGTGCAAAGATCCTCAAGTACTAGCAAATCGCTATTCAGGTATTTGTTAAGTTTTAATATGGAAACACAGAGAAAATATACTGACAAATTATTCAGTGAAATTGAATAATTGAATAAATTGAACTGAAATTGAATAATTCAGTGACCTTAATAACTCTTGATTAAATTTAATAATCTTAATTTAATAACTAATACATTTTTCACAATATGTGTATCATTACACTGAGCACCGGTTGCAAAGTAACAATTTTACGTTGCAGCTAAGCTTCTTCTTTAGCACGTATTAGAAAATGGACACATTTGATAACTTCTATAGGCTAATATCTGACCTGCAGTCCCTTTGATCAGAATTTGAGGAAGCACAAGACAGCAGGCCTACACCAAATTCTGAACCTATCACTGCTAATAAGCACTAATTAGCCAAAAACAAACCAAACACAATTCAGCAAACAAGGTCTATGAAATGTTGGGCTATAAATTGCCAAAATCAAAGCATATTTGATTAAATGTTCTTGCTTCTTTGCTTCATTTTTCTCTTTATTTTGTAGAACCGTTGTATGAAAGCAATAGAACACTCACGGCCGTGTGTTACTGAACGACATCACGTGCTGTTATTCACGATAATCCACTCCCTCTCATGTTCAACGTTGCCATATTGCCACATCTACTCACACTGAGCAGAAAATTACTCATCCGACAAAAAACCTACAGATTTCCCTATTTGTGAATAGTAAACCATATTTTCAAATGTATTCTTACATGTGCTGCAAATGCTACATTTTTTGTATTGCTAGATGATTTAAGATACCAAACACCTGGTGCTACAATCTAAAAAGTTAAGCCTTCAGCTCTTTTATTTTCAGCTGAAGTGCCTTTTTAGTCTTTGTTTTTCCATTCCCACAGTTAATCAAATATCTATTAATTAATCGGTATTTCAATATCAAAAAATTTAAATAAGCCAAAATGCACATCTCTAACTGAAACAACAAAAGGCACCGTGAATGACAGTATTGTTAAAACAGACCAAACTTTAAAACAGTGATAATCTGTTATACTGTCATTCTACCAAATATTTGATTGGGAAAAAGTATATTAAACTATAAAATATCTAGCACTCATTTATTTACAATGAGCCCCTATAAGTCTGATTGCAATAAAGACGTAAAATCTTTGGGGTCCTTTATTTGCTTTGGGCCACCACACAACTGCAAACACAAATGCCTTGACACTACCTTTCCACTAACACAGCCCAGTCAAAAAAACTACAGACCACACAGCCACACATGATGACAGACAGCCTGAAAGATTAAGGAGCTGGGAGATAAAAACATAATACAGGATAATCTCTCCTGAACATGTGTCATTTCATTACTTAATCAGAGTCCAGCCCACCTGTGAGATCATTTTAAAATCCACAGGGTAATTGCGATTATCTTCTCAGCCCAGCTTTGCCACAAACAGGCTACAGCTGTATTCTCTTTATTCAAACTCCTGGAGTTTGGTTTCATCACAATCATAATTACATCTCTGTGACTGCGTTATGCAATAGCTGACCTTTCGTTCAGTCAATTATAAACAGCCATTCCAAAAGACTATTACCCCACAGGAAAGAGGCTGAGTGCTGTCCAGATAGAGCAGAATATATTCGAGAGGCTCTAGGCACAAACCCCTCAGTATATCAAGTGTAAACAGGATTATGTGTGGATTATCATTAATCCCCTGACAGTGGGTTTATAGAAAGGGAAAATGCCCTCCAGGTGTGTGTTTGACATGCAGTACAAACAATCCACCTATGAAATACATTCAATCAAACACATGCTAAGCTGGGAAACTTTTAAAAGCTATTTTATTCTTATAAACAAGCTGCTTATTTGCTTCAAAAAAAACAACAAGATGATGAATAAGGAGTCAACAAGCAATAAACACAACCTCAGAATTAGAGAGGGCACCAGTATTGGTACTGGGCTGATACCAGAATGAAAATGCTAGATCATCTACCAGAGGAATAAGAATGAATCTGATACGATTCTGTAATAAATTAAGTGTGACATATAACTGAATAAAGCAGGTCACGTGACAATAGTAGCCACATGCAAACTACTAAACACATATTAACTATTTTACATAGTACATAATAATAAAACATAACACTGCTGTTGGAAAAAAGCCCTGTATCTCCATTTTTCAGTTTTGGACATAATTTGAAAGTGCCTGTTGCTCTTTACATTGTGTGTAAATTTCATGATGAATGGACCAAAAGAATCAGCCCAAAATTACTTGGAAAAGAAGTCTGGTTCCACTGACTTACATTAAAAGTAAAGTAGGTTTTTTCCTTCTCCTGTAAAGTTACAATTTTGGAGATACGAGGATTTCTTCCGAAAAGAATGATATATAATAATATATTGTGTTCTGTATTAGAGAATAACTGAAATTTAGAAGTGTGAAGTTATGTATAAGTCATGTTGTTGGCAATGTAATTCTTCCTGTAGAGTTGTGAAGTGTTTGAGCAGTGTGGACAAGGCAGGTTTTGATGGCCATCTTAAATAAGGCACTTCATCTGTAAACAGCTTATTTTAAAACAAAATAGGTTTATAAAAAAAACAGTATTATCGATATTCCTCCCACAGCCCAAAAACATGCAGTCAGGCCAATTGGATATGCTAAATTGCCTCTAGCTGTGTGTGTGTGTGAATGTATATGTCTGTCTGTCTGCCCTGCAATGGACTGGAGACCTGTCCAGGGTGTTTCATGCCTTCCACCCAATGACCACTGGGATAGGCTCCAGCTCCCCCTGCGACCCAGAAGGATAAGCGGCTTAGAAAGTGTGCGTGTGTGTGTTATCAATATCAGGTTAAGGTTTAAGCTATTCATAAAATGTGGTATCAATCCATCATTACATGGACTTTTAGTAAATTAATCTTTTCGTGAGGATGTGTGACCGTAGCGGCCAATGAGAGGTGCAAGAATAGCCTCAGGAAACAACCAATTCAAAATGCTTGTAAATACAAAGGTCTGCTATACTTCTGGGTGGATAACTTGCATCAAGTCAGTGGTGGAAGCAGCTCATTTTAAGCAGTGTTAAAGACAAACAGAACTTTTAGAGAGTTTTTCCTTGACACTGTCACCCTTGGCTTGCTCACTGGGACTCCAACCCGGATTTTCCATAAAGTTGCCTTCTGACAATGCCTGCTGCAAAAGCGCTAAATAAACAAACTAAACTTTGACTTGAACAGACTAAACCTCAACCCTGGCAGTAATGGTAAAATAGTGTCGTGTTTAAGGCTTTACTGTTAAATGCACCCAAGTACATAAGAAATTAGGTTTAAGGTTTCCCAGCTTTCCAGCATTCAAAGCGGGTACAGCTGCTACAAGTTGTATTAAACACAGCGATGTGCTTGATGCTAACACAACAGCAATTCTCACGGAGTCACTAGCAGAAAATAGCATTATCGTAGCAGATAAATAAAGGTGAAGATTTCTTCATTAAACCCTGCAATGAAATGTGTGGCTGGTGCAAGTTCACAAATATACATATACATACATCATCTAAACTGCTTATCCTTCTGGGTCGCGGTGGGGTGCTGGAGCCTATCCCAGCTGTCATTGGGCGGAAGGCAGGATACACCCTGGACAGGTCGCCAGTCCATCACAGGGCAGACAGACAGACATACACATTCACACCTAGGGGCAATTTCAGCATGTCCAATCAGCCTGACTGCATGTTTTTGGACTGTGGGAGGAAACCGGAGTACCCAGAGGAAACCCACGCAGACACGAGGAGAACATGCAAACTCCACACAGAAATGACCCTGGTCACCCGGCCAGGAATCGAACCCAGGCAATTCTTGCTGTGAGGCAACAGCGCTACCCGCTGCGCCACCGTGCCACCAAGTTCACAAATATATGATAAAAAAATGAATCATACACAGTCCTGTTACTGATGAAGTTGTTTACCTAACAAGAACATTTAAAAAAAAAGAATTTAACAGCCAACTTGGACCATGATGGCCATAACTCAGAAATGTGAGCACGCTTGAGCTAAACAAAATGGAGATCTTTATAGTTCATAAGGTGTGGCTGAAAACTTGGCACATTCTCACAGAGACGCTGGCGATGGTGGCAACATAGCTGTCATCACCACATACATTCCTGTGATCATGCACAACACCTCTTCTACTAACTGACTGATACAAGGAACAAGCATAATGTTCCATCTTTTAGTATGAGGTAAGAAGCAGTGGGTACTTACTGCTGCGGTCAGGGCAGAAAGAATCAAGTGTTGTTCTGTGTGTGAGAGTCCCATGGGGCACAATGACCCTTAACCCATTCGCAGCGGATGCCAGGGCCAGCATTTTGACAGAGCTGCTCATCAGTAAAGGCTTCACAGCTGGCAGACTTATACACCAGCACATCGTTCAGTATCACACCAGAGAAGCCACCAAACATGTACATGGAGCTGAGGGAGAACAGAGAACACAGAGAGAATTACATGAAAATACATGAAGTTAAATTACTTTAAATAAAGTTCCCTTAAGGGTGGAGACAGAGACTCCACACGGTTTCTCTCTCCAATTTTTTGTTGTTGTACAATAGCGATCATCTTTAAAGGTAGTGAGCTAAGACATGCTAACCACCTTTGGTTGCCTAAAACAGAGGCTTTCAATCCGCTGGGCCATGGACCAGTTCAAAGTCCCACTATTTTATTCTTATTATTTATTATTAATATAGTTAATATTATAATATTAGTATTTTTTATTTAAGGTACAATTCTTTTCAGTAAAATATTTTAAAATTTCAAACAAAACATACACACTTACAGCAAAACAACATAACCAAGCCCCAACACCCCAAATACGAAAAAGAGTTGCAACACTTGCTCATGCAAGTCATGCAAGCCAAAAACGAAGGAACTGATATCATTTACCAACTTTTTCCTCAGGGCTGCAAACTCCAAAAAAAACATCAATGACAAGAAGAAGAACAAAGAGTAATTCAGTGTAAAATATGATGACGGCTACATAAAATATTCCGAAAAAGACTATGAAGTCGTCCAATTACATTTGAAGACAAATCATCCCCAAACAACAGAAAAATACATGCTACTCGTGCATCACCGTGACAACCTCCCACCAGTCTGTCAAAAACGCTGCAGGCTGCCCTAAAGAATTTCTTAATGGATGGTTCTTTGAACAATCATTTTTATAAATGAGATCTGTGAGTGTGAAGAAAGTTAGCTAGCTAAACGCTTATAGAAGAATGCTAACTGACCAGTTACACCACGGTTATGTCCAGCCTCGCTGTATGATTGGCTGAGAGGCATTTTAAGAGTTTTCTTTAAATAATTATCATGTTATCACTCCACCTAAATCACTTGCCACCTAGTAACCTCCTCCAGAATATAGACAGTTAAATGGAACTATTTTTGTTGTGAAATGTTAATAAGCTTTTTTGGAAGTCAATGTCTGTGTCATCATTATCTCAGAACAAATATCAGTAATATAACTGTGGTATAATCTCATAATACATTCTACACCAATACCTCACAGTACTGCACTCTCTCATTAATTTCTCTCCCTAAATTTACATATTTTGAGTTGTGTGCTGCAATTTGTCATTAGGTTGAATGGGGTTTTGTCAACATGCTGATCTTCTGAGGGGTTTGGGATTCTTTTGAGGTTCACCTATTAATTTATTTTGAAGTTTATTCATGCATGGTATGATCACCGCTCTTTTACAGGGCAGCTGCTATGGGGGAAAGAGACAGGGGTGACATATTGCAATAACCTTGGAGCAGCTTGTGCCTGCCTCAAAGCCATAACAGCAGTGGTCAGAGGAAGGACACTTAGCCCTCAAGTACTAGGGTCAACATCCCGGTATTTTAATTCTGTGGTCCTCTTGATCCACTGTGCTCAGCTTCAAAGATGTGTGAAGATCTAACCCACAGAGACACTGCCACTGCCATCGCCACCTCAATATCAGCTTACGTGTTGATAAAGGTTCTTGGTCTTGGTCTTGGCTTGTGTACAAGATCACAGTCTCTAAACCTTTCTTCAGTGAAGTAACACATGAGCACCAATAACACTAAGTCATTAATGCAGTGCTTGAAGCAACCAAAGGGTTTCCCTGCAGCCAAAAACTTAAGTAAGCAGCTGAGCACTGGTTTGCTTAACAATCAGTTCCAAAACAGGCCTAATTATTTGTAAGTTTATGATCCTGTTCCTTGTCTTCAAATTAGTTCACAATAGCAAAGTGGATCATTCAATAAACATGTTCTAATCAAAACCTTTTCTACAGAAACAAACAAGTCAAGCACTTGTCTTATGTACCTCAATACACTCTGTTTTAATCACATCACATTTTTCATCTATTTCATGACAGGACAGTTTATACTCACTAAGAAGACCTTTAACCTTAGAGGTTACTAGTTATTGCCAGCGCTAACAAAGGAAAGGTATAATTCTATGAATTATTTCTTACTAAACTTTAAATCCATGACAACTCTGTGTTTGTAAGTGCAAGAAAAAAAATATTTGATTATTATCTGAATTTCATGAAAAGTTACTGTTGTGTACAGTCTTGCTTTTCAAAAGGGGTGGGTGATATGTCAAAAATATATCACAATACCTTAAGATGTTTTCACGACACACAATATGTATCATAATACTGATTTTTTTCTGAGATTTGTTAAGCAGGAACAAATAAAAAAGAACCAGAGGCTCCACGTTGGAAAAGTACTATAAAAACCACATATGACTTTAATTCAATGTTTTACACACTGCACTGCACTACATCCAACGAAACTGAACTAATTATGCTCTCTTTGTACTGAAAAATGCAGTTGGTCAGTGTTCTTGAAGTACTGACAATATCGCTGATATCCTCAGAAGAGCATATTGTGACATAACTTGTCAAAATACATGGAAAAAAATATTTTTACACTGCCCACACCTGCTTTGCAAAAAATAATCCTTTAAATCTCTTCCGTATGTTGTTCTGTTGATATTGACAAAACAGAGGAGTTGGAAGAGCAGACTCATACTTGTCGATGCAGAATTTAAGTCGAAACTAAAGGTAACTGCTTATGTAACTATGTAATTAGTCACAAACCCTACTATTCAAAGTTTGGAATCACAGTTTTCACAGTGTGTTTGTTGCAAGTACCTGTATAAAATGGTTCTTTACAAAATGCTGCTTTACAAACTCATAGTTTCAACTAATTTGTACAAAACTGTAAAGAATTACAAAATCTTACATGTATCTAGAACAATGAACAGAGCTATAGATGATAATGAAAGCTTACAAAATTCAATAAACTTAACATCCAAAATGCCTCGTACTTAAAATGTGTTCACATCTTGAGACAGATGACAAAATTGACAAATTACAACAGATAGATACAATATGTTATTTATCATTTATTAACTTCTTGGTGCTCCCACAAAACATTTTAAAATACCTTCTGGTCTCTAGAAACTATTATTTCACTGTTATCTACAACAAAATGAAATCTCTTGGCCGTAAAGGAAACCCTCGGCAAAGCTGACAATAAATAAAAGAGTTCATATAAAATAAACTTAATAAAATTATTACAGTACAGTGAGTGCCACAAAATCCTCAACAACAGGCAACAGCTGGTCATTCAAGGCAATGAATTCCATTATTCTTTGTCTATACTTTGCACTCTGGAGCTGTCATTTGCATATTTTTTCTTAATTTTAAAAAACTGTGGCTACAGATGGTTTCAGAGTGCCAGCAGGGACTTTCTGTTTCTGTAGTTTTGCTGTGTTTCTGCATATTGAGCGAGGCGTTCTTGGGTATTGTATCCGCTCTTCATATTCTGCATGAACAGTGATTACAAATCTCTTGTATAATGGCCCATTATAGAAACCGTGAAACAGACCTACGCGGTTAACATTTTCACTGTTGATCTGCTGCTGCTCAAACTGTTTGAACGTGTCGGCACTGACCAGCGCAGAAGAGCGAAGGAAATGATTTGCGTTTTTTAATCATTATTTCTCATTTTCAGGATTATTATAATTGTTTGTGAAGTCTTAGGTTTATATATTGTGTTATAGGCCAAGATAATATTTGTGTTTTTTCTTCTGCCAAAATGAGCGACATTTCATAGCAAAATGTGCTACTTTTGAGCATTGTTGGTGTCTGAAACTTCAGTGTATCTCTAGTTATTATTGAGTAAAATAATAGTAATTATTAATATGAGATGTAATTAATTTTGAACGGCTGTGGAAATACATCAAATTAGCAGATAACTAATAAATGACAATATTCTATTCTAATGGTTAAGAGTTAGAATTCCAAAGGAGTTAAACCAAACCATAAGAAACCCTGCAAAAGCTTACCCATTACTCACTACTGCAGTATGTCCAAAACGGTTGACATCATGGTGGAGCTCAGGCTTCGGCAGAACCGTCCATTCATCACATGCTGCAAAGTACACACACACACACACACACACACACACACACACACACACACAGTCTTTTCACAATTTCAGAATGGCTAAACCATGAAAAAAACATTAGAGTTGATGATACATGACACGATATGCCATTGTCTCTTGTCCTTATAAGGGCACCCTGACAGCATCATAAATCATTATCCATGTACAAGTAAAGTAAAACATTGTATGAATTCTCAGACAGCACAGAAAATGATATGCCATCTGTGGTAACAATCACAGCTTCCATTTCTCCATGGAAACCATGTGCCTTTACTGCAGAGACATCTGTGTGAATTGAGCTGTAACTGTGAGGCCAGGTAACATGAGCTCTGTGGCATATGTTCCTCTCAGCCCATCCAATCTGACACACTCCAGCTCTCTTACATGCCACTTAAATCAGCAAATAACTGCACTCCGGCTCAATTAGTCAGTGCACGGGATAAAAAAGAGAGTCAACACTGCTCTTAAGATTTCATTAGAGATAAGAGATCTTAAGACTTTGACAACCCTAATAGAGTGCAGTCCATAAGTAACTGGACAGTTAACAGTTTGTTTTGGCCTTGTACTCCAGCACATCTGAAGTGAAATAATAGCTACGAGGCTACAGCACAGAATGCCAAATACAAAGCATGACAACGGTTTTGACCCCTTTTCACGGTAGCCATAAAATTCAATTTCCACCTGTTTTGGGGTATAAAGGTGTGATATACAGGGTGATTCAAAAAGATTCAAAGCACTATATTTTTACATCCGTGAGGCACCTAAGAACCAATCACATACCAACTGAAAGAGGGGGTCAGAGTTTCTGACCATCAGAGATGGCTCCCTTCAGTCTGAGAGGAGATGCAACCCCTGAGCAGAAAACGTTTTGCGTTCTCCACTTCAATAAGAGTGAATCCATCATAGCGGTGCAACATGATTTTCATCGGCAGTGAATCTGCAACAGCTCAGAGCGTTCGTCATTGGTTCCACAACACTGGATGATCTCCGAAATCGCACTGAAAGAGCCGTGAGTACAGTGACACCCAACATGCTCAACTGAGTATGGGATGAACTTGACTATGGTGTTGATGTTGTCCGTACAGCTGGAGGAGGTTCATACTGAGCACTTGTAAAATTACATAATAAACTTTATGCTCACTTAAACCATTTACAGTTTACTGCATTGTTCTGTAATGATTTACAAGTGAAATAAATTATTTTGAAATCAGAAGAATCTTTTTGAATCACCCTGTATTTTGATGAAAATGTGCATGATTTCCAAAACTAAAAGTGAGCTGGAAATGCAAAAGGAAGTCAACATTTATAAAATTATTTTATTGTGTTTAAATGTTTTTATGTTGTGGTCTTTATACACAGTTTTTTGATATCTTGAAAGATGCAGCTGTGCTGTCCGTTGATGTGAATTGGTGTGAATTGTTTTCACAGCAGGTGGTTTTCATCCCTCCCCTTTCAGCCGTCACTGCTCACTAGCAGCTCAACCAAGAGTCCCAAAATTTCACACACAGAAAACCACAGTGTTCTAGGTAATCTGATAAAACAATTACACTGAAAGAATTTTGTTTGATTATATTCTTTGAAAATACCTGAGCAGATTTCGATTCTGTCGATGGAATGGCTACTAGGGGCCTGCAGAAAGAGGCTACTATTATGGTATTTTGTTCAATTACTTATGGACTTATTCGACTGAAACTAAGTTTGAGCCATGATGAAATAACTCAAAAAAGCTGTGCAGGTGGATGCCTTTAAACTTTCAGTTGACCTGACTATCATTTTTTAAAGTGTACTATCCTGCATTCTGTAAGCCATCTGCAGCAGCATTAATGACAACAGAAATGATAAACACCACCTATATCTTCTGCACTGCTCTGAAATACCTCTCCACACACGCACACCCACACTATAAACAACACACTGCAGCTTTGCTCCTGGCATGGAGCAGAGATGCCTTTACGACATGCAAAAGCCCGCAGGAGGAAAAGAAGCATCAATCATAAAGGTTTAATCCCTTGCAGCCTGTAAAAATGCGGATTGGATTCAAATCACAATGTAATTATTACCTGGGAAAAACAGAGCAAACACCTACTGTAGCAACAAGACCAAGTGTACAGCACATGTGCTAACCTTGTTCTATCATTACTCACCAACATACCGGTCTACTCTGTTATAGACTCGATGGTGAGTTTTTCAAAAAAGAAAAACAGCATCAGTCTATTTAGTCAACTAGAGGGCTAATAAGGTCCTACGATGTGTAGAAAACAAGGATGAAAATGCTGAATTGAAACGTTATTATTAGATTTCAGCTATAAAGACAAAAATGTGTGAAATTTGGAAATTTGGGAAGATTATTACACATTTTATAAATATATTAAAGGTTTTGTAGTATTTATCCTTAAACTATCCAGATAATGTTAATTTATGTTGGGTTTTTTTTGCCACGTAGGTTAGCCAGATGACATGGGGAATTACTTGTTAACCCCTTAACAGGTTAGTTTTATTACATACTTCTATAATACAAGAATAGCTCAGCCAGTTTGCACTGAAGTCCCTGTAGTTACTGTTAATAAGCCTTTGTATGTAATAAGCTTGGGATTTTATTTATTCTAATATTAAAACAGGATCACAGTGTCAATGATTCAAAACGTCACAGTTTGTTTTTCTGCCTTTCGTCAGCCTCATTGAAGTACCATTCTTCATGATTCATATCAGCAATTTCTGTCATACTGTAGCAGCAGTAGCTTCAGATATACTCTGTTGTGGTGTACTTCTGCATATTTTAGGTATTTTTCTTCTTACACTCCCAAAATGATGCTAAAACTGGCTAAAACACAAGCAGTCACGAGATCCTGTTGGTGTGGGTTCCTTTTTCTCACCTAGTGAAAGGTAGTACAGGAAGGTTGGAGCAAGTTGTGTAGTCACTGATTGTAAACAGGGCTTAACTGTCACGAGTCATGCCTTAAAAAAAAAAGCATTTGACCCCGACGTGATTTGAACACGCAACCTTCTGATCTGGAGTCAGACGCGCTACCGTTGCGCCACGAGGTCCTTGATGTGGCCCTTGGTGTGGGTTCCAGTTTCCTCTCTTTCAATTATGCACATGCAAAACTAAAGTCATGCTAATACTGCCCCCTTGTGGAGATTCATTAGTCTGCTTATAAATGTTATCCATGACTCAAGGCTTTCTTGCTCTTACTGAATGTTACTTCAGCAGTTCCAATAAATACAATTCAAAATGCGACATTCTTTGTGCTAATGGGGGTTTTAAACATACCCTCTTACAGTTAAAATGAATAAAATAGCATGTAAACTGCACAAAATATGGACCACAAACCTTTAGATGGCAGCAACACAATGGCTGAAGTTTGGTCCAAAATCGAATGTAAATATAACTCATTACTAATGTATGCATTGCTAAATTTGTAATTAGTTCTGTAACTACATAATTAAATAGTAGAGTAAAACAACAGGAATACACTGCATCTTCTATGGGTTAATTATTCTATGGGCCGATTTTACAGTTATAATCTTAAGACTAATTATCCAGTAACTACTACAAAGCTAATATGTAAATTATACAGTTATGAAAGTAGACGTGTGGAACCACACAGAGCTCACTGAGAGTTTAAGAGGTTAATACTCTAAGATAATGCACATTTCTATTAAAAACATTCTGAAAAGCTAGATGCCCCCAAACGTTAGGGGTATTGTACACTCCCATCCCATGATGAGGCCCCCGATTCACTCTGTGACTGTGCAGTGGCTGTATTTGTCTGTGCTTCACAAGTCAGCTTTAAAGCCATCGTATTTTATAACGGCCAACACGTACAACAAGGATATTAATATGTAAATGTGCCATTTAGCCCCCTTGGTTCTCAAGCACAAACTGTACCACTGAATAAAATGTGTGGCCAGGTTGCAAATGACCCTCCTGAGTACTGTGCTAATTGAGGAGCTGTTTAACTAAGAAGACATAAACACACAGTCAGGAACTCCATCGCAGCTCAGAATTAGGGCAAAGGCCAATGCAAAAAGAAAACTAGCGCTTCTCTGAATTCACTTCTCTGTATTATTATTTTTGAGAAGATTAAAGCTACAACTTTTTTGAGATTCTGTCTGAGCAGCTAAAGATGCTTAGTCATGCTGTTTTTAGCATTTGTAATAACAGGCTTTCTAAAATGCTGCAAGGTCTTCTTCAGAGTTAGAGTTTAGCACAGTAATTATTCAACCAAAAGTTGCCTTTGATCTTTATTTTACTGACATAAAATGAGCTATGTGGATCTACTTAGAGTCAATTTAAATAACTCTTAAATTTTTAGATAATAACAATGATCAAAAGGGCAATAAAGGTGGCATATTGTTCACATAAAGCAGACAATTTTATCTGAGTTAAGACAATTTCTTAGTGTCGTCAATACTTCTCAAGCAGAGTCCATAATCTTCAAAGAAAAACAAAACCTTTCCTCATTGTTGGCAAAGGCCATCGCCCAAATTCTTTTCTTTAAAAACTAAAAATATTGACTCTCACACCATAAATGGGCATCTGGAAAAATGCTGTGGTTAAGTTCTAATATCACAAAAGAACAAATAATCAGTTACTCAAATTTTAAAACAGCGGGCCTTCCAAAGCCTTTCTGTAGTGCATGTCGTTTCACTTCTTAAAATCATTCAAGAGCATTGTCTGAAGCAGTCAGCAAGCAAATGCGATATCCTCACACTTGCTGATGCGAATAACACTTTGCTTCACACAGGTCTGTGATTGGTCATTCTGCATGTCAGTCAAATGGCCCTGTCTTGTCAAACTGGATGGTTCCTGCCAACACCGAACAACAAAAGTAGGGCTGGGCGATAAAACGATAACGATAATTATCGCGATATAACTTTTCCTCGATAGAGCGATACGACATGTTCGATAAATGTTCGATATAATACATCGTTCTCACACTCCCACGTTCAGCGAAAGCCTTGGTGGAGTTTTCTACTGCAA